ATTGCGTACCAGTTTAACGTTGAAAATTATTTATGATTTTAACTAAATGGGTATATTATACTCCCTTGCGTAAATTCGTACTGATCTCGTTTAATGGTAGGGTACAATTCTTGTACGTGTGTACGTTCGTAAGCCGTCATTTCAATTTTATTTAATAGCGTCTAAAGCACATAATAATATGATTAATTTGATTGCACTGTTGTGTTAATTCGCAGAAAAAAATATCCAAGTTAAAACTTGTAGGGAAAATGTGGATCGGTATGTTCTGTAAGCTAAGGCAAGTTTTAACATTTTCGGTAGTAGTATTAGCTTATCATATGTTACGAAACTTGGGTATACAGGTACATAAACACCTCTTAACAGTCAGTTTTTATGTACCAGTACAGTACTCACGTACGCAGACATCCATCGAGGCACTTTGATCAAATTAAAAGTATGACGCAGTCAGTTATTGGCTATGACGATTCCTGCAGATAATGCTTGGCATGCAGTCTCTCTCATAAGTATAGGGGATGGGAGCGAGATTTAAATTTCGTAATATTGTTTGAAAATAAACGATAAGCCCAATTAACATACGCAGTTAGTAGAATGGGTCAAGTTTAGCAATAAAATGCGCCATGAAATTGGCTAATTACATATTGTCGTGTTACAACTTTCGTCAATAGAAGTACTTATTTAAGTTTCCTGAGAAGGGCACGTCCTTACGTAATCCTTTCGTTCAACGTATTGTTCCAGTTTATGTCGTAACTTATGCGGGTCATGTGTTAGGTCTGGTTTATTTCTTGCGTAATTCTGAAAACACGCACTATTGATTTGTGTGTCTATTCTATGCTCAGTAAATTAACAATTTTAATTTCTTTGTGATATAAAGAGCGACCTTTAGAAATGTTTAAATTGTTGTAATAACGTATCTTAAATAACGGAGATAAATATGTAAGTCTTAACTTTCTGTTTTAAGAAGCGATACTGATAGATACGATTGGAAACACTTCTTGTCTTATTATGAACGAAACAATCTACCAAGGAATGTCGGTGAAATAAATAATCCTTAAATTTATTTATTTATTTTTTACTGTCTTCAGTGTGTATACAAACTATTCATAAAAAAAAAAAGGGGTGTGTGTGCTGTCATGATTATCATGTGATTGGTTAACAAAAATTTAGTTTGATATTGATATGTAACTACGAAATGTAGTTGTTCACTAGATGGGTGTAGTTTGACTAACGGTTTTACGGTTGGAATACCTACTCCAGGAGATGAGTTTTGCTTATTACTTCCAGCAATCTGTTTCACTAATCTGCTTGTTTCTTTTGTCTGTCTATCAACTGGCTGCACATAGTAAAAAAATTGATGTAGATGTAAGGCATGTAAACTGAGGTTAAATGTAGGTCATACTTGTACAGATACTTCAAAAGCCAAGATGGATTTTATAATTTGGAACTTGGTGTTTTAATCTTTTGTCTTGGCTGCTGCATTTCCCTTAGTCTGAATGTTCTTATTTTACATAACCATATTTATCACAAATCTGAAATTGCTGTTCTTTTAGCTTTCTTTGTTATATTTGTTGTTGTCTGAGCTACAGCTCTCACCACCCCAAATACAATTAAGTATAGTTTCACAAAGCACGTTATTAACAAACGTTCCTTTTGGTGTTGCAGAACTCAGCTGAAGTTGGAGACGTTAGATGACGCTGTAGTCTTGGATGATGAAGCCAATGATCAGCTCAGTGATAGGCACGGATGTCCAGCCTATGTCAGTCCGGAGATCCTTATACCAACTGAAAGTTATTCTGGAAAAGCTGCGGACTACTGGAGTTTAGGGGTAATACTGTATACTCTTCTAGTGGGGCGGTACCCATTCCACGATAGCAGCCATACATCCCTCATTGGGAAGATTCGCAGAGGGAAGTTTGTGATTCCAGGTAGTCTTTCATGTCATGCAAAATGTCTCATTCGTAATTTGTTAAGAAAGGACCCAACAGAAAGACTTACAGTTGATGAGGTTCTTGAACACCCCTGGTTTCGTTCATCCTTCCACGATGGAAGGGATTCTTCTGATCATCAGGACGAAGCTAAAGTTCCAGAACTCGTACTTGATACAGCAATAACATCAGAAAATCCTTTCTAGTTTCAAGCTATATAAATAGATAACCCAGTTTTGTGGAAAGTTTATATGTATATTTGTATGTTCCATCTCAGGCTGAAGAACTGTGTGTGTGTGTGTGTGTGTGTGTGATAAAATACAACAGAACTTCTCACAAGAACTGTGCATTGCCATTCAACAACTTGGACCAAAATTGTTTTGACTTTTAATTATATGCAGATTTAAATTGCTCTGTTAATAATTTTAAAACTTCATTTTTGTCAGCTTACAAGCATTCCTAAAAATGTGATTACACCTTTCCCATTCAACAGAGTATTTTCTTGGCTGTTAAGTGACAAAAGTATCTGCAAATACAACCAAAGAATTGGATCCAAAATATGACCACGATTTATTTAAGTAATATAATTAATGTAAATAAATATAAATTATAGAAGAATAAAAATACATTTAAAACATCATTCCGAGTATTGTTTTGTTTTTTTTTTAAAACCTTTCTAGGTTTCTAATATTAGAATATGCCTTTGTTTCACTTTTGTTTGCAATACATAAACAAATAATTTTGAATGTAAAAAAAAAAATAAAATTAGAAAACCTGATTCAAATGATTACTGGTATATAAATTCCAGGCTCCATTTATAAGTTAAACCCATCTTTATATAATTAATAATAATATTGTAGCAACAGAATAATTAGACAAGGTGGTAAAAATGTTCAGGCTTTAAAATTTTGCATCTGATTTATGTGCCATTACTACTTTCTGAATTAACAGTATTTGCATTTATAAGTTAAACCCATCTTTATATAATTAATAATAATAATAATATTTTCAATAATAATATTGTAGCAACAGAATAATTAGACAAGGTGGTAAAAATGTTCAGGCTTGAAAAAGGGGGCGTTTTAAAATTTTGCATCTGATTTATGTGCCATTACTACTTTCTGAATTAACAGTATTTGCATTTCATATATTATTTACAAACTTTTATACGATTATCATGTTTGTATGTTTCAATAATAGTCTATAATACAGTTTTAAGTTAACACTTTATTTTTGGTTGGGCATCATAAACTTGAGGTTTTCTCATTTGTAAATGATAGAGTTGCACAAATAAAATCTACATTATACCATGTCTATGGTTCTAGACCTTTTATTTTTTTTTAAACCAAATTGTTATAAAAAAGTCATCTTCATTTAGTGAATGTTCTTAGTTTCAAGAAAATACTTTAAATATAGTTTTCCAACTTCTAAATGCCTGTTTTGTTCTTATATTTTTCGTTTCCTTATCTTTATAAAAAAAATTTTTATTAATTAGGTCCAAGTATAACTTAGATTTTTGATAGGTTTCCTCCATTCTTACTTTGCTCAAGACACTCTAAAAGAGAAATAATTTTCATATGTCCATAAATGATTGTAAAATATTTAAAAATAATAGAAACAATGATCCTTACCTTTACAACTTTTTTTTTTTTAATGTACTAGCAGAAACTTAAATTTTGTTTGTGTGGTTAATAAGCTGGGGATTGAGCTATACAAAGGGAAATTCACTCAGTTTGGTACCATCACTGTTAATAGATTTAATTCCTAATAGCTGCAGCTTTTCCTATCAATATTAGATGATCTAATGTTAAAAGACTTCTGAAGTGTGTAGTAATATAAATTATGTTCTTTGCTACACATACAAAAGATTTGTGGAACTCTGGATCTCTTATAAAATTTGATTAGCTATTAATGAATAGGTAACAGAAAATACCTTAATGACCAATTTTGGTTTGTAATTAATGTGTTAGTTGAGAGTATATATACAGATAACAATAACAAGTAAACTGCATAATTGTAATTTAAATTGTACAATGTTATTTGTGTCTATGGTTTTTATTTATTTAAACAGCTTGTGTTATAAGTAACTATGTGAAAGTCTGGAAAATGTTTTGAGGAGTAGGAAAACTTAACAATCACTATTTTAGTTTTGTTTTTGAAGTAAAGGTTTGTGAACAAAATTGGTTAACAAAAAAAGATCATAAGTATGAAATAAACAATCGAACATGCTGGTTCTTTTGTGTAAACTAGAAAGGCAGTAGTAACTAAAAGCGAAATTTATGGTAAGTTTGCCGAAAACTTAATCTAAGCTGAAGAAACTAAATATTCTTAATACAACTTTAAACAGAAATAGAAAGCTTAAAAGTTTAGGCAGTAGCATGAGTACTTGTACTCTTGTTA